TAAAATTATTAAAGGGGTGGCACTGAGGGTCATTTCCCTATTTTTTACGTGCAGTCCATCATTCTTTTTTTTTTATATATAAATAAATTTAATTTTTATAAGTAAAATTCGATAGCTAGGATCCAATTAAACAAGTTACCTAATTAGGCTTAATATCTCAAACTTAATATATTTTGCATCCAGAAATACCCCTACTTAGGCCTAGTTTGGGATTGCTGCCGCTTTAAAAAAAAGCTGCTTCTACTGTGCTTTAAAAAGAATCAGCTGTTAAGTAAAGCAGTTAAACGTTTGGTAAACTGTAATTTTAAAAGTGCTGTGAATATGAAAAGTACTGTCAGAGCGTTTGGTAAATTTTACCCATAAAAGTGCTGTAACTATTTATAATGACTAAAATGGACATGATGCTGAAAGTGCTTTTTACTAATCTTTATATAAATATGTATGTATTGGAAGATGAACATGTTATAGCAAATAATGTTTTTACTAAAAACATGCATAGTGCCTAAGTAATTACCTATAGGAAAACTTGGGCAAAACTACATACATCAAAAGCAATATACCAAGTCGTACAAGATGACAAGGATTCAAACACACTCCTATATATTTTTCCCTTATTTTTTGAGTTTGCAGTTTTGATATTTATTCACAAAACAGAAGCTTTACAAAAGATTAATGAAAGTCAAAGAAAAACTATACATATATCACTTATGGAAAATAAAAATAAAGAGTAAATTTTTATTTCTTTTATTTAATCAAGCTCTCTAGAAAATAAAAATAATAAACAGTAAGAATAATACATATAACAGTTATGGAATAAGAATAATACATATATCAGTTATGGAATAAAATTCTATGAATTCATGAGCTTTGTTATAACTATTTTTGTGTTTTTGTTTTCTTCTTAATAATTGCTTATCGCAGCTAACCTACAGCACACACCAATTCATTCTCTATCTACTCACAGCAACAAATTTGAATGATTCTAAAAGCATACAATGATGACATCATCAATGGGGATTCCATTCAACCCTGTGGCTGCAGCAAGGTCACTGGGTACAGCTAGTTCTACAGAAACTCCAGTATAAAAAAATAAAAATAAAAATAAAAACACAGAAACAGCACGTCTACAAAAAGTTTGAGAGCTTGAAGAGATTGAAGAATAAAAATATCCCAAAAAATTATAATCAATAACTTTGAAGAGATTGATAATCTACCTTGTGAAAGAGATTGAGAGAGATTGAGCCTTGAGAGGCTACGTGAAGATGAACTTTGGTGTCTGCAGATTTGAGAGAAATACGTGAGGATAATTACCTAACCTAATAAGGGTATTTGTGGAATTGCAAAAATTTCATTAAAGGGAGCGCGCTGCTTCAATTGAAAGCAGCTTTAAAAATCAACCCCGATGTTGCTTTTAAAAGCTGTTGTCAAAAGACTATTACTTTTAAAATAAGCAGGATATTTTATTTTTACCAAACACCTTAAACTGCTTAACTTTAAAGTTAAGCAGGTTTTTGGCCAAAAAAAGCAATCCCAAACGGGGCCTTAATGTGTTGTTTTATAGCTTTATTGTCTCTATTTATTGTGCTGATTTTAATGTTTCGATTTTTGTTTCCACTATTTTGTGATATTCCATGAAATTTGTATGTAATTGCTTAATGTGTTGTTTTATAGCTTTATTGTCTCTATTTCTTGTGCTGATTTTAATGTTTCGATTTTTGTTTCCACTATTTTGTGATATTCCATGAAATTTGTATGTAATTGAATAGGGTGTAATTTAGTGACTTTTTGTAATTGTAAACTTGGATGGATCAATATTAAAATGCAATATGCATGATTGATATGTGATTCAATCCTTGTACTACACAGCAAAAATAAAAAACACAACAAACTGAGAAAATAAATGAAGACAACATATTTGTACGAAATCTAGCACGAGGAAGAAACCCTCCACACAAGAGAGAAAAACCTCAAGGCACTCAACCAATTTCACTAAAAACGTAAGGACAAATACAAGACTCAATTGATACTTTCTTACACCACAAAAGAAGATTGATTAAATACTCTTGTCTTGTACAAACACGTCCTCTTCACTTTCTCTTGGATGAACACCAATTCACGTAGGTTGATCTTCCTCACGAGCAAAGCTTCCACAACATTCCATGATGAATGAATGATATGTTATGCTCTCAGACTATCACCTAGATAAATCTAAGAACGTAACAGCCTTTTAACTCTCTCCCTCGATCTTATAAAACAATCTCACAATTTTGATTAGAGTGCAAAAAGGAAGTTTTAAAAAAAACTTCCAACCCAACCCTTTATATACCAGGTTAACTCTTTTACCTAATAAACAAAGCGATTGGCCTTATTTAAACATCTTCCTTATTTAAGACTCTATGCAGATTTGTATATACTTTACACCAACTCAATCTTTAATTGGGAAACCAAATCCAATATGAATGCAAATTATTCTTACCAGAAAAGAGCTTTGTCGTGTAACACTAGTCAATCATGCCCCTTGTTTACCGCAAGCTCCAACCGTCACAAGTTACAATTAATTCTAAGACAAGGAATAACCAACTTATAGACTCTTTACATTTGCTAGGAAATAACCAACTAAAAATACACTTTCAATTTTTTTTATTTTATAAAAAGGCATCAAAAGGAATAAAAGTACAAAGAACACATACTGTAACCCGTTTGGTTCATGGGAAAGGAGGCTTGGAAATGAGAATTCAATTGCTTTCCCATGTTTGGTAAGTCCAGGCATGGGAAATGGTTTCCTGGCATATGGGAAAGTAGGGGGGAAAGTGAATCCCTCCTCTTAACTTGGGTTTTGTTTTCCCTCTTCATGGGAAAGTTTGGGAAAATGAGCCAACATTCAATGCACAATTTTCATGACTATTTTGTCCCTATGAACAATTTATAATTACAACGTATCATTAAATGCATTTTTTTTTATTTGATTTAATATGGGTATAATTGGAAAATTATACAAACTTTGTTTTCCATTCCTACTCAAAACAAACATGGGAAAGGAAACAAAGTGAAATCTCCCGGTTACTTTCCCGACATTACCAAACATGGGAAAGGAATCTTTCATTCCCATTCCTTGGGAAATGACATGGGAAATGTTTTCCCCTCAAATTCATTCCGTGAATCAAACGGGGCCTAAAGGGAATCGTCCAAATAACAATGTGGCATACATGGATAAATAATTTTTTTTTTTTTTTGGATACCTTGTGACAAAGGCCTACTGTTAATACATATAAATGTGTAATTAACATTTATATAATAAAAAAATGTAGTTTTGGAATTGTCATTTGTAATAAACGAGTGCACAATGATTTCTGGTAGTCTTTAAGACTAGGAGCGCATATATAATCAGTGTATGTAATTGTTTTTGTGTGTGAGGAGGCATTCGCGAACTCAATAAACCAACCCTTTGAACACATGCAGTGATTTGGCTGTGTTCATCTAATGTCTTCCTCCTCCTGGATTTTGATTCTTACTAATTCAAGATATATAATATTCTCATCTGTCATGAGTTGTTATCTTTTTTCCTAAGAAAAACATATAAACAAGCATCTGATCGTATTGATTGGGATTATTTATCCCTCTGCATTCTTTTGTCTTTCATCCCATTCAAACTCAGTAGACTCATATTTTTGAAGCATCACTTTTTTGTGTGGAAGAAACCTCGGCGGTACGAGGGATAACTTTATTGATTAACAAACTGAAAAAAGAAGGGGGGACTTAAAAGCCTAACCCTGATTACAAGCATCGATATCCAAGAAAAGTACATCCTATCTAAAGCATCTCTTAAACTTTTGGAAACGATAACATCTAAAAGAACAAACCAAGGTCAATCTACCTGCAGAAATAGTTAAAAATGTTCAACAATTACCCCATAAAGCTTCTTCACAATGCTATTTAGGAACCGATTAAAACCAATGCTCCATGGCAAGTTCAACAACAACGAGCCAAGAACACTCCAAAAACCGAACAGAAATCCTAGTCCCAAGCTCAGATAGAACCAACCGTCTTCAAGCAAATAACTTCCTCCGTGTTTCTGATCTGCTACCGGTGGTACTGTCCCGTTGGTATTACTGCAGTTCACTTCAAGTGGAGGGCCACAAAGTTTATTACCAATAAAACTGAATTGATCAAAACTCTGAAGTTGAGTGCTTTTCGGAATCTCGCCTATCAAATTGTTGTAGGACAAGTTCAAGGTACTGAGAAATGTCAAACTTGACATACTTGGAGCAATTTGACCACAAAGTTGATTCATGGACAAATCAAGAGATTCTAACCATCTCATATCACCAATCTTGGGAGGGATTCTTCCACTCAAATGATTATAAGACAAATTCACCGACTGCAAGTAGATGAGGCTGTTAAGTTCTTCAGGGATTTCTCCAGAGATAATGTTGTCTGAAAGGTCCAAACTAATTGCCAAGCTAAGAAGAATGTTTCCATATTTCACTTCTCTGCCTTTTGTCACCACGTTTGCATTCTCTATTCGGCCCATAATATAAAATGGACGATTAAAGTATAAACGGGTGGTCATTGCTGTAAAATTGTACAAACACCTTGGCATTCTTCCTGAGAGATTGTTATGTGCGAGGTCCAATATTTGGAGATATGTGAGATCGCAAAGCTTGTACGGAATGTGGCCATGAAACTGATTTGAACGAAGGCTGAGAACCCTCAAATTTGAAAGGCTTGTTCCAATCCACATTGGTATCTTTCCTAGAAACTTATTGTAACTAAGGTCAAGAATAGTCAAATCTGTACATTTCTTTAGATATGGAGGCAACTCCCCATGCAAGTGATTATTGCGCAAGTGCAAGTATTGGAGGGAGAGTAAGTAGCCCAAAGACCTTGGAATATTCCCAATTAAATTGTTGCTTTCTAAATTTACAACTTCCAAGTTTTTCCAGTTTCTGAAACAGTCAGGAATTTTTCCAGATAGACGATTGTTGTCCAGATGAAGACTTTCAAGTGCCTTTGGTTCACTATTATTATTACAGAAAAAGTGAAAGAGCGTTCCAGAAAACGATGAGTTGGAAAGATCTAGTTCATATACTGTTGATGAAACAAGAGGTAATGAACCATTGAACTGGTTAGAACCTAAGAGAATAACCAGAGACGGCGAACTGGGAAATACATGTGGAACCTCACCATACAATTTATTTTCAGAGAGATCAATATAGCTTAATTGGGAAGAAAAGTTCCAAAACCAAGTCGGAATGGTACCTGAAATTCTTGTGTTGGGCATGATAAGAATCTCCAACTGCGTTTGACTCTGAAGCCACATGGGCAATTCCGATGGCTCCAGATGCCAATAATTTAAATCCAAAATAGAAAGTTGAAATGGAGGAAGCCAGTGTGGAGTAGTTTCAAGAGTCAATGAGTTTCCACGTGCGTCAAATTCCACCAATCTTGTAAGATTAGTGAAATGTAGTTGAGAGACAACACCTGTTAAATTATTATCATCAATTCTCAAAACTTCTAGGCATGACAGATTGCCAAAGGACGGTGGAAGGGGACCTGATATTGAGTTACTAGCAAGATCAAGGACGCGCAACTTTTCAAAATGATCAAGCTTATCTGTTAAATGGCTCGAAAGATTGTTCCATGATAGACTCAATGACTCTATTTGAACTGAACTACACCTAGAAAAACTTTCAAAAATTTCTGACACGCTTCCATTGAGATTGTTCACCGACATATCAAGAGTAGTCAACTTACAAAGATTTCCCAAAAAGTTTGGGATATTCCCTGCGAGTTGATTAGAACTCAAGTCAAGATTGACAATGGATGTGAGGTTTCCAAGGGAAGACGAGATCTCACCATGAAAAGAATTGGAGGAAAGACTTAGGGACTGAAGATGGCTAAGCCTGTACAACCATTGAGGTATTGTAGAACTGATAGAGTTGTCGTGGAGATTAAGGAATTTGAGATTAGTCATGTTGGCAATACCACCAGGTATGTGATAAAGTCCACAACGAGACATATCCAAGTTCTCTACCAAAGACGGGAGTGTGTTTGTCACCCGCAACCAATCAGATGCTTTGCTAAGATTTGCACCACTCATGTCCAAGTGTTGCAATTGAGAAAGACCAGAAATCCATTGAAGGCTCTCAACCTCCAAAGAGTGAATCTCCCCATGGTCATCTTCATATTGGAGATCGTCCAGATCAAGAACCTGTAGACTCGTTAGATTTCCCAATTGATGAGGAATTAATCCGACGAACGACGAGTATGAGAGGTTAAGATATCTTAAACTTTTGAGAGAACCTAAGAAGCTAGGAATCTGCATTTCTTCAAAATCATTGTAGCTTAGATCCAAGTAGCTCAGATGCGTTAAATTGAGTAGAGATGGATTTATCTTACCACTGAAAGACATATTGGCAAGGTGGAGATCGCGGACATGACCGGTAAAATTGTTGCAGACAACTCCCGCCCAATTGCAACAATCTCCTTCACCAGCCCAAGATGAAAGCTGATTTGAAGGATCTTCAAGATCGTGCTTAAACTTCAAAAGTGCTTGTCTCTCATTTTGTTTGCAAGGCGCACTCAGATTTGCATTGCATAATAATAAGCAAATGGTAAATAAGGTTGCAATGCTTAGAAACCTGACAACAGTGCTACCCATATTCATGAGCTAAATACTTACTCTGTGAGCAATAATGAGTCATCTAGCGTGCTATTTATACATCTTTGGTGGAGAGGACGTGTCCAAACGGGATCTTCTCTTCTCACATAGAATAGAATATCATTTACTTTTCCCCTTTCAACTGTTTTGTCCTAAACACATAATTTATCATTAAAGTCCTCTTTTCTCACGAGCTTGGAATGTTTTCATTAAAGTCCTCTTTTTTCAGATTTTCTTCATTTTGTCGTTGTAGGCCAATCAATGTGTTAAATATTAGTGCACACTTGTGTGGCAAAACTAGAAAATTTTAGAACAATTGAGAGAATTACTAAGTAAAACTTGTTGACTCTTACTAGAACAATCCTAATAATTATCTATTGTAATTGTAACTAGAGAATTCTAGAATTATAGGACTAACTTGTGGCTAAAAATGACTTTAGATAAGTCGGTTACTATGCAACCGACTTGTCCAAGCAAAATTGCCAACTTAGCATCTGTGTAAATATGTCTACAGCCAAAACAAGTAATCAAGCTGAAAACTACAGCTGTCCTATATCCAAAGCCTTGTACCTTTCCTACTTCATTCTAATAAAACTACTTTGTTATTCTTTCAAAAGTTTTCCACTCCAAATTAAGCTATTGTCCTAAACACTAAACCAACCATTTCCTAAAACTCTTCTCCCATAAACTAACACAATGTCCTAATTGCAAAGCTGGTAACAAATATATTGAAGAATACACAAAGTCCCACATCAGATACTTAACAAAATAGAAAGTCTTCATATAATAAATGGCTCAACTCCTAATAACATCAAGGCCAATTGTATAAAACTCCACACTTACTAAATATGTAGTTAAGTTGAGGACAATATCGATGTTGCTAGTAAATGAACCAAGGGTCCATCACTTTAAAATCTTAGCATGGTATCTGAGATATCAGGGCATCCCCTATTTTCTATGTACAACCCCACAATGATAGTGAAAGTTGTTATTGACGATGGTGACTTGACCTATTTGCTGTGTTATTGCCTAGAGCTTTGATGAGATGTTGCTTGGAAGCTCCAATCTAGTTTGCCAAAGTAAACACGTCAAGAGAGAAAAAATATGAAAATTGACAAAACGAAAGGGACGGTCACTGATCTTTTACTTTGAGTTGACTGACTTAAACAAGACGTGAATAAGGATTCAAGTTCAGTGGAGCAAATGACTAAGATTTAAAAAAGCTAGTCTTTCATAACGTGTAGGACATATTTTGGCATAATGTCATTTATTTTTCATTAGACTTTCTTTTGGCAATTGCTATATCATCTCGGTAATTGTAAATTCAAAAAAAGTTGTGGTATGAACTGTTAATACATATAAAAGTGTAGTAGCATAATACATATAAATGTGTATATATGAGCGTTGTTTTTTATTCTTGTGGAAATTGGGATGTGCAATTAGTTTAATTATAGGTGAGTCTGTTGGTAGGCCTTTATTTTGTTATTTTTAATTTTGATTAGTTTTTAAGGCCATTTAGTAATTTTGAGCCATTTAAATAGTCCACTAGGTTTTTTATTAAAAAGTTTTGGACTTAATGTGTTTTTTATATGATAGGCTGCTTTGATGGGTTTTTTTTGTGAACCTCCTTTTTTTTTCTTTTCCATTTTACCTCTTTTCTTTTCTTTATCTATATGAATTTGGTTTTTTCTAAGTTGCAGGTTTGATTTTTCTCTTGTCTATTTGATTTCTAGGGAAAAGGCACACTATTACTCTCCATTTAGATGAAAGAATTGAAAATTACATAGAATTCTAAAATGACGGAATTTAGATTTCCATTATTTCAATTTCTGGCAATTGAAGATTTCAGTTTTTGGATTTATGTATGTCAAATTTTGTAAATAGCACTGTGGAAATTGTGAAATGATGCCTATTTTGGTGGAAATTAAACTCGGAAATTTGATGCCCTATTTTCTAATTCAAGATATATAATATTCATTTTAAATCACCTACAACCCTTCCATTTATTGAATTAAGGCTTGTCAAGTGGAAAAAAGACTGGAATTGAAAGAACAATAACGCTACGGGCACCAACTTGTTTACCAACTTTTGGATAGCAACACATGTGGCACATGACATGGCAACCCATGTCATCTGCCACCTCATCTATTTTAATTACATAATTTATTATATAAATAAAAGAATTTAATTATTTTTTATATTTAACTATTTTTGTTTCCGGTGAGAAATTCTTTTATTTATATAATAAATTATGTAATTAAAATAGATGAGATGGCAAATGACATGGGTTGCCATGTCATGTGCCACATGAGTTGGTATCCCTAAACCCTAAACAAAAATAGTTAAATATAAAAAATAATTAAATTCTTTTATTTATATAATAAATTATGTAATTAAAATAGATGAGGTGGCAGATGACATGGGTTGCCATGTCATGTGCCACATGTGTTGCTATCCAAAAGTTGGTAAACAAATTGGTGCCTGTATCGTTATTGTTGAAAGAAAGTGTGGGGTGATGCCTATGCTTGCCACTAATTAGAAAACGCACTCATGGTCCATCCTCATAAAAAAATTGTGTGGGTTTTTATCAAGTAGATCCCAAAATCTTTTTTTTTTTTGGGTGGACTACACTAATCAAAAGAAAGTTAATGATTATTTGCATGGCACTTCCTCCTCCTAAAGTAATTAGACCTAAATTGAAAATTGTACTACATGGGATACACACACTATCAATGTGTCATGAGAATTCGAACTTGTGATCATTTGTTTACAAGTCAATGTTTTTTTAGACCTCATTCGTCTTTTTTTTATCTTAAAAAAAACCTATAAATAATGAATAAAGAAGTAAATTATGATAGGAAATACAATTATTAACAAACTATTTCTATTTGTTTGGTAAACTTTGGAGGTCAAAGCAATTGGCAAGTCATGAGAGTTTATTAGACAAAGTCGTTAGTGACTAATTTATAGGTCAGTCAAAAGAAAAAAGACATAAGGAAAATCAAGTGCGGGATGCCTTTTTTTCTTATCACCACTAATTCTACGCACTGACAATCCACTTACGAGCATGCCTTGATGCACCACAATAAGTCGGAGCAATGAAAATTAACAAAGACAACTAGACTAGTAAGTTGATGATTTTACTTTCAGAATTTACCACAATTAAAAAAAAGCAGTTTGATAAAACTAATTTAGTTCTCTTTGCATTCTAATTCCTTTACTATACAAAGGTTAAACCCATGCCACCTAACCAACAATAAATTGCCTTAGAGATATCCAAGAAAAGTACATCTTGTCTAATGTGTTAAATTCAGAGAGACGGGTCAACGACCCACTACTAACAACACTGATATTGTCCCCAACTTAACCACCTACAAAGCCAAGTAGGTATGGGGTTTTATTACAAAAGGCCTCGGTGTTATTAATTGTAGAACCATTCATTATATTTTGTATTTTATTTAGTCAAGTTTCCGATGTGGGACTCATATTCTTCAACATAATGCATCTCTTAAATTTTTTGATAAATTGAGCTTAGACCCATAAAATTCATTTTAAATCACCTACAACCCTTCCCTTTATTGAATTAAGGTCCGCCAAGTGGAAAAAAGACTAGAAATGAAAGAATGTGTGGGGTGATGCCTATGCTTGCCACTAATTAGAAAATGCACTCATGGTCCATCCTCATAAAAAAATCGTGTGGGTTTCTATCAAGCAGATCCCAAATTTTTTTTTTTTTTTTTGGTGGACAACACTAATGAAAAGAAAGTTAATGATTATTTGCATGACACTTCCTCCTCCTAAATTAATTAGACATAAATTGAAAACCGTACTACATGGGGTATACGCGTTGTCAATGTGTCATGAGAATTCAAACTTGCGACCACTTATTTACAAGTCAATGTCCTTTTTCATTGAGTTAGACCTCATTCGTCCTTTTTTTTTTTTTAACCTATAAATAATGAATGAAGAAGTAAATTATGATAGGAAATACGATTATTAACAAATTATTTCTATTTGTTTGGTAAACTTTGGAGGTCAAAGCAATTGGCAAGTCATGAGAATTTATTAGACAAAGTCGTTAGTGACTAATTTATAGGTCAGTCAAAAGAAAAAAGACATAAGGAAAAATCAAGTGCGGGATGCCTTGATGCACTGACAATCCACTTATTACGAGCATGCCTTGATGCACCACAATAAGTTGGAGAAATGAAAATTAACAAAGACAACTAGACTAGTAATAAGTTGTTGATTTTACTTTCATAATTTACCACAATTTTTTTTATAAAAAAAATAGTTTGATAAAACTAATTTAGTTCTCTTTGCATTCTAATTCCTTTACTATACAAAGGTTAAACCCATGCCACCTAACCAACACTAAATTACCTTAGATCAGGCAAATCACAGTCGAGATCAGCTAAGAAGTACCCAAAAAAAATACCACATTTTCAATTCAAACGAGGACATCTATGAGAGATTAATTTGGTCTGGATTGATTTAAGCAAGGAAATTTAAACTTAGAAGAGCTTTATATTAACCGATGTTGGCTTTATAAGCTAGTTTGAGTTGAACTTTGTCCCACATTGGAAATTTAGGGTTCATTTGAACTCTTTATAAGACTATGTAGGGGTGGTTGCGGTTCGGTAACCGCGAATTTTTTCTCAAACTGCAAACCGACCGACTATTTGCGGTTTGGTGATTTTTGAAACCGCATTGCGGTAAACCGCAAAACGCGGTCGGTTACCGCGAATTAGCGGTTTAAAACCGCAAGTTCTTAAGCATTCACAAAAATATAAATTTACAACCTAAATAAATAAATACACAACCTCAATTTCTCAAACATATATAAATTCACAATCTCCTCAACTT